TTTGCAATGTCATTCTGTAACATTTCATTAAACTAGTTTTCCTTCCAGATCTCTGGAAGGAACCAGAATTGAATAAAGCTCCTGTTTAGATGCAGTACAGATGAAAAAAAGATTGTTGTATATCCTGGGAGCTGCTATTGTAACAAATTTCTTTCTTTTAAATTTTCTAGTTTCTAGCTAAGTTATGGTTGTAAAAGGTTGGCCTCGCGTTAGATTCTAGAGCTAAAAGTTTTCAACAAGGTCGTTTTAGACCTCAGTTTCAAACTAATTAACTCTGGCGGGAAGTATGTAAGGATCTTAAGTTTTACTAACGTTTATTTTATTTTAAATCTTTACTATCACTTCTTATTTTCTACTTCCGGCCAGAATTATAAGCGTTAAGGATTTTATGCAAAGTTTGTCTGGCGAACGCCAAGTATTTAAGTGTGGCCTTTTTGCCAAGCGAAAGAAGAGGAAGCGTGAGTTCGAAGCGGCCGCTTACCTTAGAAGTTACGCAGTTGCTATTTGCCTTCCAGGCCAGAGGTTTTAATCCTCTTGATAAATTAAACGTATTGTAGTGTTCACAGTCTCTGTGCTACATCGCTTCCTGTTATTATAAGGCCAATCTTCCACGTGTATTATTCTAAGTTAAATTAGAGTTTAGTTTTATTTTTATACTTTTTACGTTAGACCCCGAGTGGAGGGTCAGTGTATTCCGAAGTACGGAAGTTATTGGTATATAGAGAAAAATAAAGGGTTTTGTATACCCTTCGTCTGTATCCTGTCTACTTACCACAATTAGTGAACATAGCTTTAGTAAGCTCTCTGTTCCGAGTCAGGTCCTTGTATGTTCCCGAAGAAGGTTAGAAGGAACATTGAACCTGATAATGTGAGAAACTTTTAGGTATTTTGGATGAACATACAACCAAATATTTGGGAACTGCACATGCTTAAATTTAGATTTTAACCTCGAATTTGCTGCTATATCCTTCATTAACAAGGCCTTATGATTTATCGCAGTACTAGAACGAAGTACGTTTATCTTTTTTATCGTAGTACTTTTATCCAATCACACTCAGTTTTTATTCAGAAAAATATTCTCTTACAATTTTCTTCAACTGAAAATTGTGCTCCATTGTACAATGTCGTCTAAACTCAGCTGTTTTTTTCATTAGAAAACTGTTTGGTTTTGAAAAGTATTGCACGTCATCTCTTTGACATATTATGATGATATGTTTCAGTTTTTAAACTAATTTGCAACTAAATATATTTCTATATTGTAGAGACATTAGGTTATTTAGGAAGCAGAAGCTGTGACAAATGACCAATGCCCTCGCCGGAACTCGAACCTCTAGAATATGCGCCGAATGTGGTGACCACTACACCGCGAAGACATGCTAGGACTGCAGGAGAAATACCTTATATACTCCCCTTTTTTAAAGGGCGACTGGGGATTAAGGGACCCAAAATCCTGGTACTAGAGAATCATCATCCACCACCAATCATCATTCAATCATCATAGTTCGGGCGCCACTGTAGAGACATTGGGTTATTTTCCAGCAGCAGATGTGAAAAAGGGAGCAATGCCCTCGCCGGAACTCGAACCTCGGATCTCTCAAATACGCACGAGTGTGCTGACCACTACACCACGAAAGCATGCTAACAAGGCGGGAGAAATATCTTATAATATTTTTGAGTTAATAAACACCAGTCATTATTAATGCTTATTAATGCATTATTAATGCTTTATAATTTACTTTTTGAATTGTTATTTTGATTCGCGAAAGCCTTCGGATTGACTGGCAAAACCCCTGGGTTCCGCGGAACATACTTTTAAGTCCTCTGGATTAATCGAAAGTGGTAAATTGCAAATCAATCTAGGACAAAACGTTTTAGAATCGTGCCAGATTTGCATTTTCGACGAACGTTTTGAAAGTAATTAATTGAATCACCAATTTTCTAATCCTTGAAATTAAGGAAGATTTCCTAATTTTGATCGGGCAAACTACTAATATTTAATATCATTCGGTACTGCCTCAAGAAAAAAAAACGCCATAACAACAAGGAAAGTGATGTAAAATAATGAATATTAAAAAAAAAAAAAAAAAAAAAACAGTTTAACTGATGTAAAAGTATCCTATAAAAGAAAGAGAAGTGTACAAATTTCGTTAGTGATTTGAAAATAAAATTGGAGTGGATATATACTTTATGCTTATTTACACAGAACTATTCCGGATACAGCTACATATTTATTTGTTGCGGTGTGATAATGTACATTGCATATCAAGTCTAAATAAATAAAAAACAGAAACTGTTAGCAAGAGAAGGCAATAAATATTACGGATTTAACTTACGGATAAAACTTAACGACGTTTACAGAAATTTTATGATATAGTACGGAATATATTTTTAAACTTCTTCTGAAAGTTAATCTATACGGAATATATTTTTAAACTTCTTCTGAAAGTTAATCTAACTTTTTTAATCATGCAAACTCAAATAATAAATGCAGTATCATTGATTTTAGATTAGCACTTTTGAGCATAGAATAAAGTTAATTATAAAAAGAACGAAATTTATATAATGATATCATAAGCCTATTAGCCTACCACGAGCAGTGCTGTTAGGCATCATGACCTCTTTGGGCTGGGCTTTCTTGCACTCGACCTGAAACAAATTACATAAAAATGTTATTTGATGTTAAGAAGTTATTCCAACAATAAATCTAATGCTGCACATTAAGATATTCACTTTATAACAATTAATGAGAATCAAGATTGCATTTTCACGTTTCCTTTCATTAGTTGTTTAAAAATTGACTAATTTACAGTAAACTATTATTTTATCTGAACGAGATTCTCATAATGAGAAATGCCAACAAGTAAAACTGATTACATTTCTAAAAAAAAAAGATTTCAGATTTTATATTACGACCAAAGGTGCGTTTTTTAACGTTTTGTCTGTTACCTTTATATGTTAAATATCATGTTTTTTGCACTTAAACCATCAAATTCAATTCAACAGCAATGTCGCAAAATAATTTAAAATGAACATATCTTTAAAATTTTCAATACACAGTCTCGCGCCTTGGGGTTAATTTTTTTTGCACAGTGTTGCCCTTTCTCGCTTTCAAATCGTTGAGTTTGTTAATCAAATATTCGTTAAAGTTCTACAAAATATGAAATATATAATAAAACAAATTCCAAATTTGGACTTCCAGATGCACATATTCGAGTGAAAGACTACGTTATTCAAAATTTCATGTCTAGGTACCGTGGTTTTTTTCACAGTGCGAGAAACATGCATACATTCATGCAAATTCTTCATTATTTAATTTCTTAAAATATGAATGAACCTGAATCAATGATCGAGCATTGTAACAAGAAGGAAAAGAATCACATACAGCAGCAAAAGGTAAAGACAAAACGTTTCTAGGACTGTAGTGGCTTTCTTGTGCTTTCTATTAAAATTTTTGAGGCTTTAAAGCCTTTATCATTATGTTCAGTGTCTGCAAGTTGATACAATTGTATTTTATACGAATGAAAATAACATTGATATGCTACACGTATGGAATAATATTATATACTTATAACAAACAGATAATAATATACAAATAAAAATATAATTATATAGAAAAAAAAAGAAAAAAAAACAAGCAAAATGAAATGAAATAGCTAAAAGTCTCTGCTATTCGGGTTACAGCCGAAAACATCGTGGACGAAAACGTCGCGGAGAAAACAACACAAGGCGAAAACGTCTTGCTACAAAACATCGTCGGAGAAAAACATCTCAAAGAGTTCATCGCAGTTCTAAAACATCGTGATACAAAACATCGACGTCGAAAATAAAGCGGTTCGAAAACTTCGCAGTTTAAAAACATCGCCGTCGAAAATATCGTGGTAAAAAATAAAGTATCTACAAATCAAGGCATGACGATAACATCGCAGACATGTTTTTTTCAGGTTTTAATAAATGTAAATGGATATTCCTATAATGATTTGTGAGCGCAAGATGTAAAGAACGATAATTTTTATTTTCATATTTTTTATTAACTAATAAATTTTTGCTGAAAACGTAAGAAGGAAACTTGACCATAGAAAATTAAATGCAACTTATAGATTATACTTTTCATGAAAAATTACCAGTAAAAACTTTATAAAAATGATTTATTAATGGCCTTTGTTAATTAACTATGTTATTCGTCTTGCGTTGTTTTCTCCACGACGTTTTCGTCCGCGACGTTTTTGCCGCTATGTTATCGGCGGACAACGCTATTTGTTGGGTTTTGTTTAAATATGCATATGTAAGTTTAGTCTAAGCTTGTTGTCTTTTTGTAAAAACATATTAGCATTTATCATATTTCAGAGAAACACATATTTATGAATTCTCCTAATAGTATGCTGAATACTTTTATCTTTAGTTAATAAGGAATATTTATAGTTATGCAAATTCGAAGTTTCAAAATTTGAAATGACAATTTTAAGTATCTTTGATAGCTGTACATTATGCGTGTAATGAGATTTCATAACATATGAAATTTTACTGATATTCGTTGACAGACGACTGACCTCATAGTTTTGAAATAGTATTCGTTGACAGACGACTGACTTCATAGTTTTGAAATAGTGGTCGAATTTTATTTCACACAGAATATTAATCTCATGAAACTGTAATGTAAATATTTTATGCTTTTGGTAATTTTACTAGGAGTAATATTTAGTTTTAAAGAATCCAACTTCTTCGAACAATAAGGGTATTTATAAAGTATGAGATATTATTTGCCTAGAAAAGTTTTATTTTGATTGAGAAACGTGGTGCCCATCATATGACTCAGAAAAAATGAAATCTGTATCAGAAATTCTTATGTGATGCCTCGCATAAATTGATATACATCAAAGCTATAGTCTGTTTTGTATCAAATATTTTTTCTTACATAATACTTAAAAGGTTTGTTACAAAATTCGTTACCGAATGTTTTTAAAGTGGCTGGCACGGGTATCTCATATGTGATGTATTTTTGAGGTTCTAAGAGGAAAAAATTACAAGATGTCAGGTATTTGAGCGTAACAGAACAAGAAAAGAACACCCACTCATCTTGCACATTTTGATCGATCTAGCGTTAGGACAAACGTTTTCATTCAAGTAAATATTGAATTCGTAACTAAACAGGGCCGTAACTAGAGACTTGGAGTCCCTGTGGCAACAAATGATAATCGAGCTTTCTTTTTTATTGTTTCTTCCAATCATGCCGCCATATTTTGTAGTTACGGTTGATAATTTTCTAAGTATTTCAAGTAGCTTTATACGCTTTAATCTAATGAAAAATGTTTCGATAAATGCATATTTGATGTGTGCTATTAAACTTTAGTTTTGATTTCTTTTAATCCCTTTAAGTCAAAAGAATATCTTATCCGAAGCTATTTGACATCATACAGAGAGTAATATGAAATATATGCATCATAATTATGGTAAAATGTTTAATGGGACGTTATTCGGAAACTTTGGGTTTATTCTTGAATTACAATAACTGTCTTCTAACTTTTCAGGAAACAAACTCATGAAGTATTTCATCAAGGGTAGTTTTTTTGAGCTCTATTAGAGAGAGTAAAGTTAAACTGACGAATCTATTAGAGAGAGTAAAGTTAAACTGACGAATCTGTAATGTAAATATTTTATGCTTTTGGTAATTTTACTAGGGGTAATATTTAGTTTTAAAGAATCCAACTTCTTCGAACAATAAGGGTATTTATAAAGTATGAGATATTATTTGCCTAGAAAAGTTTTATTTTGATTGAGAAACGTGGTGCCCATCATATGACTCAGAAAAAATGAAATCTGTATCAGAAATTCTTATGTGATGCCTCGCATAAATTGATATACATCAAAGCTATAGTCTGTTTTGTATCAAATATTTTTTCTTACATAATACTTAAAAGGTTTGTTACAAAAATTCGTTACCGAATGTTTTTTAAAGTGGCTGGCACGGGTATCTCATATGTGATGTATTTTTGAGGTTCTAAGAGGAAAAAATTACAAGATGTCAGGTATTTGAGCGTAACAGAACAAGAAAAGAACACCCACTCATCTTGCACATTTTGATCGATCTAGCGTTAGGACAAACGTTTCATTCAAGTAATATATTGAATTCGTAACTAAACAGGGCCGTAACTAGAGACTTGGAGTCCCTGTGGCAACAAATGATAATCGAGCTTTCTTTTTTATTGTTTCTTCCAATCATGCCGCCATATTTTGTAGTTACGGTTGATAATTTTCTAAGTATTTCAAGTAGCTTTATACGCTTAATCTAATGAAAAATGTTTCGATAAATGCATATTTGATGTGTGCTATTAAACTTTAGTTTTGATTTCTTTTAATCCCTTTAAGTCAAAAGAATATCTTATCCGAAGCTATTTGACATCATACAGAGAGTAATATGAAATATATGCATCATAATTATGGTAAAATGTTTAATGGGACGTTATTCGGAAACTTTGGGTTTATTCTTGAATTACAATAACTGTCTTCTAACTTTTCAGGAAACAAACTCATGAAGTATTTCATCAAGGGTAGTTTTTTTGAGCTGTATTAGAGAGAGTAAAGTTAAACTGACGAATCTTTCCTGTCCCATTTACTTCTTAGCAAATATCGTTTTAATTAATTTAAGTCTTGAGAATGATTGTTCAGCATTTGTTACAGTCATAAGCACTGTTAAGTACATGATGCATGCCTTGCATACATAAAAATCTCGATGAAGAGGTGTGATTTATTATCAACAACTCTGCTAATCCTTTGACGAATAACACTATTTAATCCTTTTTTATTCTTTGTTAAAATTAATATCAAATTTACTCGAACGTTTTGGAGATCTTTCTCTTCTCTCAAAATCGGGCAAATGGGAGATGCTGAACTGATGATTTCACTTTGTGAATTATATACTAGACGAGATGAGTCATCGATATTCAGCAGACTGCCAGAAATTTTTCAATATTATGCCATGGCCCATTTGTAAGAAATTCTGATCTTATCCCATTTCCTCAGGGGTATTGCCAAAATAAAGTTTACATGAAATAATTACAGATAATTTTAACCACCTCAAAAAGAGAATGACGCAAGTATTACATGCGTTATACTAGACATTCTTTCCAGAATTTAAACAGAAAGTGAACATCCTTTGACGCCCGTTGTACTATTAATGTTTCACATATTGAAATTTACCAATCTTTCTTGTGAGTTTTCTAAATGACAGAATTAAAGAGCATCATTTTAAATTTATCTCTCTTAATATATATTTCACAGAAATATTATGATATCTCACTATTCATTCTTTGAAACACTGATATTGATTTAAAATTTTACTTAATTCTAAGTAATTATTTGTTTTTGCCATATTTTATGTACATAAAAATAGCTAAACGTGGGAAATATGTGTTTTCTCATAAGAAATAGAGCTTTAAGAAATAATATTATGATTTAGGGTCTTTATTAAATGCCCTATAATCTAAAAAAAAAAAAAAAAAAAAAAAAAGCTAAATTAGAAAACTAGTCTTTCGTCTAACTGTTGTAACCTACAGATGAAGATTTAGTTATCTGCATACGAATATAATTATTGGAAACAATTTTCAACTGATTCTTACCATTTTGCTGTTGATTTCGTGAAAATGTATTTCACACACTTTGTCCACGACGTCCTCGTTCTCGAAAGTAACAAAACCGAAACCTGAAAAAGATATATAAGAATGCTGAATATTTTTACAACTGAAATCAAGTACTACAATACTTAACTTTCTTATTTGAATTTTGGTTTTAAGATTTACATTATATTTTTAAATTGTTTTGTTTTTGTTTCAGTTTTGATGTACATTCTTTCTGTGTCAACCACTATGTTTGATTTAATTATATATTATTTTTGATTATATACACATGTGTACATTAATATGTAATATAAAATATATGTATGTTCCTATATATATATATATATATATTTAAATATTAGAAACTTGTTTAAGCAAATATTTTACTTATTTATTTAAACTACGTTTGAAAATAATTTTTCATTTTTATAAGGTTCTACGCCCATTTTTAATTAAGTTGGGGGTAACTAATTATGGCAAAGCTATTATGGATATCTATTAAAAGGCAAAACTGTCTTCGTGGAGGATTTTTTAAGGAAAAACGATCGCATACAGAAAACCACGAAAACTTTCTGCGCCACCAGCCTTTCTGTCAGAAATGGAAACAAGGAAATTTCCTAATGTTCCGAGATACTAGTAGTTAGCACATAGTTTATAATACCTTAGTAGTAGTAAGTTATAATACCTATTTACAGCAGTTTATAATATCTGCATGTTCTCTCTCTATATATATTAATTTCATTATTTTAAAAGCGTACTAAATAACAATACATACATTTTGAAACTATCAAATGCATTTTGTTAAATTTTTGCGATATTTGTATATCGGGTTGGCTAAAAAGTAATTTAGGTTTTTTAGTGTGAAATAAAACTCAGTTTTTTATACAAGAAATGAAGTCTAATCAATGACATATTTTCTAATCTGTTTGATGATATTTTGCCATCTTTCTGCCAACTTCATGATTCCGTGTTCACAGATCTTCTGGAGTTTATCAGCCAAAAGACTCAACCAGCTGCGATTTGATGTAATCATTACTGCTGGAATTTTCACCATTTAAGAAGTTCTGTAAACTTTGAAATAAATGAGCTATATGGGCGAATGAAACATCACTTCCCAGCAAAGCTCCAATAATATCGTATCTGTTGCTAAAAATGTTGTCGCATTGTTGTGGTGGAACACAATTCTTTTGCTATTTGCCAATTCTACCATTTTCTCTTTGATTGCTTCCTCCAGTTTCATAAGTTGCTGGCAGTAAACATCTGAGTTGATCTTCTGATTGCTTGGAAGCTGCTCATGGAATACACAACACCTTTGTAGTCCCACCAAATAGAGAGCACAATCGTTTACTGATGCAATTTTGTTTTCAATATGATTTGTGTTGATTCGTCATGCCTGGACCATGATATTTTTCTATAAGGTTATTGTAGACGATCCATTTTTTATCACCAGTGATAAATTCACTTCAAAAAAAGGGGTCGATTACATTACGTTTGAAATTCGTATCGCAAATGTTGATTCCTTGCGGTTTTCAATAGAATCGATTCCGATTAATCGGACCACATCGAGAAGCGATCGTTTTGGTCCTAATAACCAGCTGGTCCGATTGCACGAACATGTCCTATGTTGTAAGACGGGACGTGCTATATGTAGCAAACAGTAAATGTAGATGTAAATCATGTACTAAAATGTAATTATGAACTTTATGGTGCGGTAGACACGTGTGGCGAACATACATGTACAAATAAAAAATACAGTCGAACTTTTTTCCATTGAGAAAATTACTTTAGAAACAAATTCTAAGAAACAATATCCACGATACTCAACATGCGAAGCACAATAAAAACAATTTATTACCAAGTTCCAGTCAACATTTGAAGAACTTATCCAATGTGATCTGACGCGATCTCTTGAAGGATTGCACGTAAACAAAAACCGCCACAAACATCTAACGCAGCAATGAGACTGCCTTCATTTCCCTCCTGCATTGAAATACCGACGCAAAGTTTACAATGCATTTCCTCGCATCCTGAGGAAATCCTTTTTACTTTCAATGAGCATGTCCACATCCATCTGCAAAACCAAGTGCATAAAGCCACAGTGAGAAAAACAGTTCTGAATTGTCTCACAGCTCACTTTACGCCAGCTGTCGGCCACAAATGTAACTGCTTGTAAGACCTTTGCACTGACTTCGCTTGACTTTTGCACTGACTTTTGACGATGAGGTAGCAAACTTTCTTTAATTGCTTCAAGGATGTAATTAACCAACCTTGCACGATAAAGGGTCTTCAAATTTTTTATGATGCCCATGTCCATTGGCTGGACCAAAGCTGAGGTCCTGGGAGGTAGAAATTTCAGTTGGACGTTCATCAAGCAATCTAAATGAGGATGTGGCGCACAATTGTAAAGAAGAAGCAGCACGTTTCTCGACTGGCGTTGTAGCTCTCTGTCCCAATTCTTCAGCCGTTCTTTAATTCATTAAAACGTTCAGAGGTCATCCACGCATTTCCGTTCTCACAATACACAAATGGTAAACTCTCCATCCTAAGTCCTTTAAAGCAGCGAGTCTTAGTGCTTTTTCCTATAACCAACAGCTTCCTCTTGTCCGTTCCTGACATGTTTGAGCAGCACAAAACAGTTACGCGATCCATCGCTTTTTGGAGCCAGAGAGTGTAACATGTTTGTAATTTAACGAGCCGTCCGGTGTAGCACGATAATACAGCCCAGTCTCATCAGCATTGTAGATGTCATCTGCTGAAAAATTTTCAAGAAGCTCGGGCAGTTTTGTTGATTTTCATTCTTCAGCATTTGCACTATCAGCACTTTCTTTCTCGGCATATGCTTTGTTGAATTTTATGTCATGTCTAGATTTCCATCGAGACAACCAACCGTCCGTACCTTTAAAGTCATCGTGGCCCAGCGTTTTAGAGAGTTCTTCTGCTTTGCATTTTAACATTGGTCCCGCTTACTCGCACAGATCGTCCAGTAACAAGGGAAAACCATTCATTAAGGACCTCATCGATATTTCGGTCCTTGCCTTCACGCTTCCGTTTTTTGGAAGTTCCTCCTCGTCCTTCGCGAATCCGGTTATTTACACCAACCAACACTGACTAGTGTTTTTTGGCAGGGGAGACAAGACACGCGCACAGTTCACTGACTAAAGTGATCTGAAGAAACCTTGGTGTTTCGGATTCAAGATGTTGAGGTCAAGAGGGAGATAAAATGCTCGCCATTCAAAGCTTTCCAAATTCATCCCCATTCATCCCCCAAAAATGATGAAATGATAGCGTTCTCGTGTAAACGTTAATCATGATTGACAGGCAGAAATTCTTTCAGGAGGAACCGGACACTCTATTGTTCCTTTCCTGAAAACTCGGAGGCGCAGGTCAAAGAAAATGGTGCTCGTGTTCACCTCCCACAGGTTTTGCTTTTGTCATGCACTTTAAGGAATTCCTAACCTTAGATAAAGAATTTTCCTGGGAAGCCACAACTACAGATCCTCCCATATGTCGCAGACCACCTGTACATCCGCTGTACGCTGCCGACTTTTGGCTTCTGTTTCTTATTCTGTTTTGTTATTCGCTCTCACGTTTTTTTTGATCCGATTAAACGGAATTTTGGTCCAAATAAGCGAATAATATTAGGCTTATGTGCATAGGATTTGTTTCGGTTGTTTAGGATTTTGTCTGAAAAAGCGGCTGGTCCGATTATCCCGTGGCCCAATTAACTGGATTCGAATGTATTTTTTGCGAATTGCTTGTGTGTGAATTTCTTTCAATTCATGCGGAACGCAAAATCGAGCTTCGTAATACGTCCGAGACATCTTATATGATTTTCAGTTGTTGTGCGTAAAACAATTAACTTTTCTACAAACTCTTACATTGTTATATGCGAATTCGATTAAATTATGACTTTAATTTTATCATCATCAACTGCAGAAGGTCGGCCAGAACGTTGTTCAGTTTCAAGTGAAAAATCTCCAGAAAGAACGTTTTTAAATCAATTCTGACACATGCGTTCTATTAAGTAATCAACTCTATAAACTTCACATGTATTTGTTTCTTCACATGTATTTCTTCTCAACCGCTTTCTTGCCTTTATTAAAATAAAAATGTAAAAGATGTCAAAAATGTTTATTTTTGCACCCCATGTTAAAACTGACAGTAATCTAACAAATGGGAATAAAAATACACGGAATTTGGTTCTATAGCAACCTAAAAGTGTCAGCTACTAATTCTCGAAAGAAAAAAATATATAAGATTGATAGAAGAATAACAAAAAGGAACATAATCAAAAATGTACAAAATGAAATTACTTTCTTACCATTACCAACCCGATAGATCACAAAAATTCTTATTTGATTACGATTCTAAAATTAAATATTTTCAGTGAATTCATAAAATGTATACATGCTGTAACTTGTACAAAATTTTGTGTTTGCAGAGCCGTTCTTTTTTTTTTTTTTTTTTTTTCCAAAGAAATCAAGCTACTGGCGCTATCTATTGATGAAACAAGAAAACTAAAACTCTCACATCAACATATCAAAAGGCTCTCTCTCGTTTTAGGAGATTGTAAGAATTGTGTTGTCATGCCTTTCTTTCCATCAATTAGCTATACAATTGCACGTATTTTACAGAAACTTAACTTTCGAGTTGTTTTTCTTCTACCATTAAAATTCACAGTTCCATACTTAAGGAGCCCTTTCCGGATATGAATTCCTGGACTATTTACAGGATTCCTTGCCAGTGAGGTTTAACTTACATTGGTCAAACTAAGAGAGCCTTAAAATTTCACGTTAAAGAACACGGGGCATACGTTAGGGAAAGGAAACATAGAATTCCTCTTTTACCCAGCACTGTTGGTCAGAAAATCACACTTTCCATTTTTCTGTAGCCAACATTATTCGGAAACATCTTCTATTGGTGAATTAGATTTTCTAGAAACGTTTCATATTAAGAAAATTTTTCTGTTCTAGTTAATAACTCTAATTCAAATCCATCTTTAACCTCAATCTTTAAGGAAATTATGCTTTAGTTTTCGGGTTTCATCAAAAGATGGCGGCAGTAGCTTGACTTCTTTCCCGTCATT